TCCTAGAAGAATATTTATCATTAGTTAGTTTGGAGGAGTTGTAAGAATAGTAGGCATCAAAGGGCCAGGCGCCTACTGGAAGACAGGACACAACATGTGATATGCGCAATATAATCAAGATTCAGGGGGGAATTCATTTTTAATGAGAAGAGGCATGACACTCACGACAAGAGGGCGTAGTCATACGTGAGTGTAACTAGAAAAAAAGAAAGGCATGTGGATGCCGATTCTTGAAGAGGGGCTATCCTCTTTTCCCAATCATCTCAATTCAGACAACATTAGAAAAGAAGTGCACGATGATATCTGAGCATACAGAGAAGGTTTACGTTGCATCCATGCCATTCCCTTCTTTCCTTATCCCCTTTTTCCACACAAGCATAAAGAGAGCAAACAATCACTCAATTAGAACCCACATCGGCAACATATGTGTCATTATTCGATCATATAAAAAAATATCTGCATGCACTGAAAATGATAGGGACATCAAATACGTTAACATATAGGAAAGAAGGTCCTTCCTTTTTCTTTTTCTTTGGTTTCTTTTTCTTTTCCCCCTTCACCTCTTCTTCTTTCATCTGGAAAATCATTTAGGGGCTGTTTGGTTGATGTATTTGGCATTGGGGGTTGGGCAGAAAGCCTGCCAAAAGAGCAATTTTTTGGCAGGCTTTCTGCCCAACCCCCAATGCCAAATACATCAACCAAACAGCCCCTTAGTAGTTTATGACCATTTACTCCCCTCAGGTGGGACTTCACTGCCAAATGCCTCACCTATTAAAGAGTGTTAAATGAAGGAAGGACAAAAACTTGTAATAATCAAGAAATATAAACAAGAAATGAGCAAGTTCATGCCCACATTTCAGAGGATCACCGACAATCTGATATTAGCCCAAAAGAACAACCATGAGAAGCAAATAACCTGTAACTATCAAAGCTGACAAAAGATAATAGAACAACAACGATAAACAATGAGCACGCACGCTCAATTAATCGCCAAAAGCTCATAAATCCGCGCGAAATGTCAGGATTCTTGCAGGCAAAAGACCCGTCATCAGAGACGATGCAGAGCCCGACATCCGAACCTTCTACGGTTCAGATTTGTTTTTACGGGAATTTGACGGCGAGCAGGAAAAAACATATATTCGTTCGTAGTCTCTCTCGGGAGAATCATTTTATCCCACCCACGACTCTCGCCTCAGGAAGCGTGGTATTATTGTTTCCGAGGTCGGAATTCGGAAATCAGAAAAGTTCGATACGGCGTTTCGTTTTTCAAACACCAAACGCTGTTATTATATACGGGGTCTTTACTTGCGGGGTGAATGCCGCGCACTGACCCGAAGTGGTACTCCTATTTATTATTTTTAATCCCACCTCCTTCCAAAATTATTCCAAAGCCCAAATACACTACCTAATTTACTTTAAAACTCACTTTCGGAATCTCAAAAAAAAAAAACTCACTTTCTACATTCGACCAGTTTTGCATATGCTATTACAGTTGCAAAGAAAAAGGAAAAAAAAAGTCCCAAAATGTCTCCGCTATTGATGAAGTAATACCCGGAATTTACTCTGATTATCGATGAAGGCATCATTAAAGTACATGATGGAGCCCAGAGAGACCCTCGATTGGATCGCCATTGTTTTCCTGCTAGGAGCTCAGTGTGCGTTGTTGACGGGGATGCATGTCTGATTTGTTTCCTAGCACTTTCGGAGTGTGGAGAATTTAGAAAAATCCAAAATTTGTGTCATAAGTCGACTCATGCACGGGCATAAGTCGACTTATGGTAAGTCGACTTGTATCTGTGCACGAGTCGACTTACGTTTTGTTCTGGAATTGTTGGTTTTGGCTCTGTCAAGTTGACTTATGAGGACTGAAAGTCGACTTATGATTTGTTCTCCAGTTATTGATTTTCGCTCTGCTAAGTTGACTTGTAATCTCTGTTAAGTCGACTTATAGCGGGTTTTCTACACAGTTTGAGTTCCTATTTGGATTCTGTTTGGAATTTGGTGTTTGGTATAAATACCAACACGTTTTAGGGTTTCTTTGGTTTTGATTGGTGATTATTTTTGGGATATTTGAAGCACAGAAAAGAGGTATTTTCTGAGCTATTGGTTAGAGTTTTGTTTGGAGAGAATTAGATATTTGTTGGTGAAATTAGTTGGTTTGTTTGAGTGATTTGTAATCTCAGTTTGTACTCTTCTTCTCTATTAGTAAAAACCTCATCCCTTCTTGCCCGTGGACGTAGGCAACTTGCCGAACCACGTTAAAATTAGTTGTTTGTATTTGTGGCATTACTTTGGTTTGTTTGACCTTCTCTCGACATTTGGTTTGCTTCCTCGAAGCACATCGGTTTGGTTTTGTGGCTTCCGCACGCATAACAATTGGTATCAGAGCTTGGGCTAGTTAGAGGAGTAGATCACTTTGAAAGTTCGTCTAGGGCTTCAGTTGGTGATAAATGTGGGATTTTTACTATTGTGGATCTTGTCTACCGTCGTGCGGGGTGAGATCTTTCGGAGGCTCTTGTTAGGGTTTCAATTAGAGGTAAAAAAATATCTTCTTTATCAGTTTAGATCTATTCTTCGTTTGTTCCGTATTGATTTGTTGGTGCTTTGAGATATATGACTGAAAAAGAAGGAGTTGAGGCTGGGATATTGGATTATTGAGAAGTGCATTGACCTGCATATTAAAGTCCTTTGAGCACATTGGTATGAGCAAGGAGACGGAGGTGGGGTTTGGCACTTCTATTTGACGATTGAGAGGTCTTCTAGATGGTATTCATTCAGGTAATTGGGGACCTTCCAAGAAGGCATCATTGGGAGGTAATCAGTATTTGATTTTCGCAGTTGGGGACTATTCTAGGCATTGATGGGTTGCAACCAAGTCCTGTTGGTGTGAAGCCCTAGAAGTCAACAACAGATAGAGGAAGTGTATTTGGCAGAAAGGTGATCCGTTGTTCTGATTTTGATAGGGGTCCTTTCTTGTGTTTGTTCGGAGCTCACGATAGTTTGAGACACTTCATTGGAGAGGAAACATTAGGGCGACAAGATAAAATGACAGTTTTGATGGGTCGTTTCTTACTGGAGGAGGATCAGTGTTGGTTGTTGAGCATTGGATTGTAGAGGAGTTTTGGAGCTTCGACATATTTGGGTCATCTTAGTCATAGGTTGTCGACTGCTGCGGTTGGAGTTTTTAGATTTGGTGGAGCTGCTTCAGATTTTGGGTTGTGTCGGATGTTTGGTTGCCCAGCATTTGGTCACATCGAGGATGTGAGATTTGATCCAATTACATGTTTGGGATTCAGAGGCTCGTTTGGTTATCAGTTGGGAGCTTCTAACTTTTTCCTGAGCAGGTATGTCACATTTGACTCTCGGCAGGTGGAGAGTGTTGATGAGATAGTTAGGATATCGCAGCGGGTGGGGGGTGATGCTACTCCACATTGGGTGGAGATTATTCCACATACTCCAAATCATACTATATCGTTTGGAATTCCAGCTGAGGTGACACAGTTTGGGGATCATTTACATTGGGATGCAGATGATGAGTTGGTTGATTCCAAGTGCAGCTGGTGGACATAGTTTCGTTTGGATTTGACCATTGGGAGAGCTATCAGTTGCAGATTTATTGGTGATGTTGGAGAAGGGTTGCGAACTCTTCTATTGGATTGATGGCCTTTGAAGGCCGTTGGGTAAACTACGTGAATGCTTGATTCCTTGGATAAGAGGATACATAGGCAGTCATTTATGATGCAACCGATTTGGTAAGTTGACACCGACTTTTGGAGAGTGCTCACATTCTTATTTGGGTCTCAACTTGTTGTGGATTGAGTCCGTGATCATGGTTTTATTCCATTTCGTACTGGACACAACAAGTGGGACATTTGGTTGGTATTGGTGTTGGCTCAGTTTTGAAAAAACTTCGTCGAGGTGGAGGTTTGTAGAGAATTCAAAAAAATCCAGATTTTGTGTCATAAGTCGACTCATGCACAGATGTAAGTCGACTTGTATCTGTGCATGAGTCGACTTACGTTCTGCTCTGGAATTGTTGGTTTTGGCTCTGTCAAGTCGACTTATCAGGACTGATAAGTCGACTTATGATCTGTTCTTCAGTTGTTAATTTTTGCTCTGCCAAGTCGACTTGTAGTCCCTGTTAAGTCGACTTATAGCAGGTTTTCTGCACAGTTTGAGTTCCTATTTGGATTCTGTTTGGAATTTGGTGTTTGGTATAAATACCAACACGTTTTAGGGTTTCTTTAGCTTTGATTGGTGATTGTTTTGGGGATATTTGGAGCACAGAAAAGAGATATTTCCTAGGCTATTGGTTAGGGTTTTGTTTGGAGAGAATTAGAGATTTGTTGGTAAGATTAATTGGTTGGTTTGAGTGATTTATAATCTCAGTTTGTACTCTTCTTCTCTATTAGTGAAAACACCATCCCCTTCTTGCCCCGTGGATGTAGGCAACTTGCCGAACCACGTTAAAATTGGTTGTTTATGTTTGTGGCATTATTTTGATTTGTTTGGCCTTCTCTTGGTGTTTGGTTTGGTTCCTCGAAACACATCGGTTTGGTTTTGTGGCTTCCGCGCGCACAACACAGAGGAAAGAGGGTCTACATGGAGGGTGAAGTCTTTGGGCAGAAGGCTTGTTTCATTGAGAAAAATAATCCATGCAAGCACAGGCATATTACTTGTTATATATTAGAAAACATTAGAAAGGGCGGCACTTTAGACGAAGCCTGAAAGCCTCAGAAAGAACAATAAGAAAACCAAGATCTCACAGGCTAAGAGATCATGTACCAAGTGCATAGCACAATCCACAAGATCGTCATCTAGCTGCTTGCCCAGTTGCTCGCTCTAGCACTTGCGATCACTGACCAGCAATATTTGTCATAAGAGGTTAGTTTGCTCATAATAATGACCATTTAAAAAATGATGGGACAAGAAAAGACCCTGTGTCAAACTGAATTCAAACCCCAAAAAGAAAAGGAAAAAAAACTTTCATGAACCAACAAAAACGTGATTAGGAAACCATATCCAGCCTTTTAGGCATTTCAACTTCTTGTCTATAATCTATATCCAGGAGCTATATCTCCATGAATTTCAATATTATGAATACAAGATACAAAAATAAGTTTTCTCTCAAAATTTTCTAGGGTCCGTAACAGTAGAAATATGGTTTCCTCTCGTATTATCTCTCTTACGAGGGAGGTAACATTAATCTTCACATACAGTTTCCCAATTGTTTTTCTTTTCTTTCTATTTCTTTTCTTTCTGACAAGACTTCATTCCCGTGATTTTGACATATTCCCTTCAGCCAGTTCTTTCTTTCTCCTCATTAATTCTACAGGGATGGGGGCGTGGAGCAACTTTGAATGAGAGATAAGTAGTTGACATACTTCCCATGTGAAGCCTATTTGGAGGGCCTATAAAAGGGCATAACACAAAAAATTTTGGAAAAAAATAAGTGGCAACAATAACAACAACAAATTGAGAGGACTAATGAAGAAAGAAAAGAAAAACAATTAGTAGCACCTGGCTGCACAAGCTTCTTTTTTACCCATCTAATTTTTTTCTGGTCAATCTTAGAATATCCATTATCTGAGACAAAACAACTGAAGTTAGTTTCACAACAAAAAAAATACCCTGAGCAAATCTTCATACTAAAATTCAGATTCGGCACTTAGGGTATAGTTTTTCTCTCTTTTTTATTTTTCCAAAAGACGAAAATGATTTATTAAAACACAATGTATGTTTTTGACATGCATATATTCTCCACATTCATGTACAATTGTAGATAGGCAAACTAAGATACTCTCAATGCACTACAGAAACAAGAAATTTAGTTATTATAAATTTATTCACTAATACTAAAGCGATACAGCGATTTAGATAAGTTGCCAGCTTATTTTCGAAAATATCAGGGGAATGTCTGTGTCCAACTCTAGAGAGAGATTGAAAACATCATGCACAACATATGTGCACGATGAAGAGAAGACCTAAAGTTCACCTTTGAAGAGTAAATAAAGTCTTTTGCAGGCAAGTATTGCCTACAGCTGTATAAGGATCTGACATGCTTAGTTAAGTAAATAACGAATATTTAAAGCATAGATAAGTTAAAATAATTTGATGATTTATTGAGCATATCTAACTGAGATATACTTCTCTGTAACATGTCAAAGCAAGATATCCTCTTAAATTATCTTGCCAGAGTCATAGAAATCTTCATAAAGATGTAATTTCTTAAAAGCTCGACGTGTATAAATGCAATATGGAGAGCAATATATGCAAATTGCACCAATCTCACCCCAGAATAATGCTGCAAAACTGGTGAATAGTGATCCAGAACTTTGTATATTTTCTCAACAAGAGCATAAAGTAGATCCACCTCATCCCCCAGTAAATCCACCTGCAAGTGATCCACACTTAGAATATTAGCTAAATGACGAACTTGAAGAAAAAAGTACAAAATTTTGTTAAAAGAAGGTAAGCAAAATTGTGATGTTGCAAGCCATCTTATTTGTATGGATCAAGTCTGAACCTTGAAATTCTGCAATTGAAGTAATGTTTTGAGCAAAAGTTTTGTTCCCTTCTCCATATTTCTTCTACCTCCTCGAAAAACAAGTCATAACGCAGGAATTCTTTTCATGTTCAATGCGCATGGAGAAGAAAGCAATGTTTTAAATATCGGTTATCGGGGATTTATCGGACGACCAAAATCCTTATCGGATAGCGGAAATCAGGGATATATCGGGGATAAGTAGTATTTATCGGAGCAATATATTGGATGGTGTATTTATATAATATAACAACTAAAAAATGTAATCTAACCATGTTTAATGAAATATAAACACATCAAAACAGAAAAACAAAGTATGTACAGTTTATTCACTAATTTCTTATATAAGTCTCTGTTACAGGAAAAACAGAAAAACAAAGTATGATAAAAGAATAGTTATATAATTGATATTACTCAAAAGAGAAAGTGCGTGCGTGAAGGAATTACAAGAGAAGGAAAGCTCACAGCATGTATATATAGCCATGTTTCTGGACAAAAAAAACATGGTTGACAGAGGGTAGGTGAGCGACGAAGTTTAAGGTTGAAGTTCAAGAAGGCGAGCGATGAAGAGGCGCAGAGAACATGAGATGGAGATAACGGAGGAAGCGCCCTACGAGAAAAGGAGCAGCCACTGGAGACGAAGTTAGGGTTTGAAGGTCGGATTCACAAAGTTTTGGGTTTTAAGTTTCATATTATTAACAAAGTTAGGGTTTGAAGGTCGGATTCACAAAGTTTTGGGTTTTAAGTTTCATATTATTAACAAAACGGGTCGGGTCGGGTTTTAAAAACTCAACAACTTTTCATATTATTAACAAAACGGGTCGGGTCGGGTTTTAAAAACTCAACAACTCAACTCAAAATGCCTGGCTGATAATCCCGATAATCCCGATAATTTAGCCTTACTTATCGGCCAATAAGTGCCGATAACGCCGATAACTCGCCGATAATCTCCTCAAAACGATAACCGGTTACAAAACCAACTTATCCTAGCGGAGAGCTCAAAAATCCGATAACTCGGCCGATAATATCGATTATCAACCGATATTTAAAACAATGGAAGAAAGTGATAGAGCAAAGAAGGAAAAGATTTTTGTGGCTGGTTAGGTCATGCGAATTCTACTGAACTAATTCTGACTCCAAGGGAAAGATCTATCGATTTTGGAGTTTTATCAAATATAATATTCAAGATCCAATACACACAATGTTGGGAATTTCCCAACACAAAAGACCGCGCTGAAGTCAATTAAAGGAAAGACCCATAGGCTATGCTATCAATTTTGGAGTATCAATTGTCTATAAGCTAAAAGAATGCAGAATAATGTTTTTTTGTGTCAGCGTAATGGGACAGTAAGATCAACATCAAAATGACTAAACAATATGAAGTTGATGAAGAGAACGGTTGTATTTTTTTTAATGGTATATAATAAATAGCAACTGAAATCAAAAGCACTCAATTGATGCATGGGCAGGCCTATAAGATTAACTTATCCCAACCTCTGCTTCAGCAGTTTGAAGGTCACAACATCGCCGGGTAAAGGCCTTTTGATAGAGAGCTAGCTGGTTCTTAATTGAGTTTCCATGCTCAGTAAGAGAAGATACACGATGATTTATATCTTCTAACCTATAGAAAAAGGTGGTATAAATATAACAAGAATATTCACTGTGTGTCTATATATAATATATGTATATATATATATCATTAAGTATACACTATATATATATATATATATTATATATATTATATAGAGTGCAGAACTTGTGCTCAACTTTAAGTGGATAGTGAATAGCGCTGCTGTCGATGTGTGTCCACCAAACTTTATATACACTCATTATAACATTTGATAAAAGTCACTTTCATATCACGCGCAAAGTCCTAGGAAACATCCAGGTGTTTAAAATGTTATTGCTCCGTGTGAATAGTCCACTTAAGTGGATCACAAAGTTTGTCTCGTTATATATATATATATCATCTAGTATATATTATATATATATATATTATATATATTATACTATATAATTATATACATACACTATATATATTACTGATAATATATTATATGATACTGGACTGCACTATGAAAGGATACCAATCACAATTCACAAATATGATACATACATGCAATAACTCTTCGTAAAAGGACGTGTAGCTTCCAAAAAAAGCGTACGATTGTAAATTGTATGATCTACTAAATTGTAAAAGTTTTCTTAAGTAAATAGTAAAACATTGTAGATTTCAATTGGATGATCCACATAATATGGATGTGGTTCTTCTCTCAATACTTGTATCTACTTTCAACTACCTATATTACTAACAAATTATAACTGATGGATGTGAGAGTCTAATTGCAACTCCATCATCTCCACTGGAGATTTTTCTATACAAAAAAACCTCAATTATGTATCTACACAGGTCTTTTGTAATATGATTTTTACAGTTCTTAACTTCTTGATATAGTTGATTATACCTAAATTGAAATGTTCAACTTTCTGACATGCCAGACAAACCTATAGCTACAGTTGACAATAAACAAATGCATAATAGACATCTCATGACATTATAGTATGAATTGAGCCCACAAGATTTCGTCTTAGATTTATTCTGTTTGAATATTACTAGTATGACATCCATAGCTGTTAAGTGTTAACTAGAGGAACCTAACAGACTAGGCGCCATGTTCTACATGTATGTTAACTAAGACGATATTCCAATGTTCATAGAGAAAGTAATCCGAAAACCTAGTTGATACAGTTTGGGTACAACAGAAAATTGTTACTTACGGAGACTCCATATATCTACTTCTCAATGCTGGTTTGGTCTAATTGATTATCCATAGCATAGTCTATTTACAAGTAAATAGAAATCATTAACATAAAAACAATACCTCGTCATATGTGCTCCAATTATGTCACATGCTAAAACCTCAAAATCCATGATTTTTTTTGAAAAATCAGTAAAGGGTATCATGATCAACTGAAACTCATTCAGTTTCCTTTTTTCATGTCCCTTAGGCAAGCACTTGGAATACTTTGCACATCTTGTCAAATCAGTAATCGAAGCAACCTGATCATGTAGAACATTCTCATCATGAGGAGTTAAGTCTATACTTGATATCATTTCTTTCGCCTCCATCTTACTGGACTTTACTTCTTGCGGAGTTAAGGCTATGCTTGATATCACTTCTTTCACCTCCATCTTACTGGACTTTACTTCTTGAGAGATGTTTCTAGATCTCCCACTCTCTAAAGTAAAAGCATCATATTGTTCCTTTGATTCTTTGACATAACATTTTTCATTGTCAGAATAAATATTTCTCTCCAGTGACACTGGATCGAAATCAAGTTCCAGATTCTCCCTAGTTTTGAAATGGTCTAGTAAGGAATATGATTCTTGCATTCCATCTGCTTTTCTTGTTATATGAAAACTATGGAACATACCGCCATGAAATGGTAAACTTCCACTGTAGCTATCTCCTTCACTCATGATTACATCAAAGCTAATATCTTTGATTACTTCATTAAAAACATGACGATAGATGTCTTCCATGAAAAATATCTCAGTAGTAAAGTTTTCAATGTTGTTACTCCACTCCTTTATCATCTGCTTTAGGATATTCTTATATGTGTCATCCCTTACTTGGGAATCTATGATACTATCGGCGTATTCAGCATGCAGTCTCCTTACTAAACCAGTGAAGATAATAGAATATGTCTCTTCCAATATAACAGACTTCATATCAAAATCTTCTTTTTCTCGACTTAACTGTTTTATCTGTTCAGAAAGTTCAGAATGTGTCAGATTGCAACATGACCTGCTGCTTGATAGCTCAGGGCTACCTCCCATCGGTTGAACTATCTTTGGTTCTTCCTCAACTAATAAGGATCGTGATAAACTATGTTGTAGAATACTTTGGTCTCTTCCAACCTTCCACTTGAGGTCATCACACTTTCTGATGAACTTTTCTTTCTCTTTCATGATAGATTTCACGCTCGAGTTGATCCTAGCGAGCATATCATAAACAGAATCAAGACTTCTTTCACTTCTAAAAGCCAAACACCCTTTTTCTCTGGATTTTTCTCCCTTGAGGATATCAAGTTCTACAGATTTCTTTTGTATGATAAATTCATGACTTCTTATCTTTTGGGCGACTGAACGGCATGATGGACTCTCTTCACAAAATTCCTCGGTATGGTCATCTTTTTCTAACATGGATGTAGTCTCCTTGCCTCCTTCATTAATACAATCAATATTATTCTTTCTTGGACCTCCTTCACTCACATCTCGATTTCCCAATAGACCATTGTTATTCTCCCTTTCCAAGTTGACACCATCTCCCAGCTTATGCATCTCACCCTTGTTTGGAACTAGCCTCTCCAGTGCTTTCTGCAAGCTAGTAATGTCATCTATAAAAGCAGCCCAGCAAGTAGTATTCATCATCAACACAGGAGAAACGTCCTCTACCACAACACGGGTGTCGGACTTCAGTAGGTATTGTACCTCACTTAAGAAACCTTTGACTATAATATCAATCGTCTCTCTCTCAACATTCCAAAGCCATCCTTGTTCATCCAACATTGTCTTGAACAGGGAGACAGAACTCGCCACCGTTCTAAAGGAAGAATCGATCTTTTCTTTAAGAATGCCCATATCTATAGCCATATCTTTCAGTTCAATTTCCAAATTCAGATTTTGCACTCCTTCTAACATTAATTTGGCGTTCGCATCTCTAAAACTGTTGGAGAAACCTTCCTCCCTTTCTAAATCAGATTCAGTTATCATCAGCAACCTATCAAAATCCAAGGAGCGGGAACTTATCCTTCGCATAAGACCTCTAAGGTTGCGTTGCCCATCTTCTAGTTTGGCCTTAAGTTTCTTCAGTTGTTCATCGACACAACTTTTGACTTGGCTGATTTTCTCCGTACTCTTTTTTCTTCTTCTCTTACGCTTCTCCCTTTCAAGCCCCAGGGCTGCATTTAAAGAGGTAATGTCTTCATCCTTGACTTCCAAAGCTAATCTAAGGTTAGACTCAATCTCCATCCTCTCAGATAGCTCTCTATCTTTCTCAGCGATCATCAGCTCGGTCTCCTCGAGCCTGTTATGGATACGATCCCTTGTCACCAACAGGTCAGAAAGCAGCTTATGGATACGATCCCTTGTCACCAACAGGTCAGAAAGCAGCCTCTCACGATCGCAGTTGCTCTCAACAAAATGATGAATGTTGTTGCTGGTGTTCTCATGAGTCTCCTCCTCCTCTTCTTCTTCTTCTTCTTGTTGTTGCAAGAACTTTAAGCACCATTCTAGCTGTATTGTGGCCAGCTCGCAGAATCTAGATTTCTCGTTCAACCGCACCAGATCTCCTTCTTTTGAGCAGCTATTCTTGTAGGCATTCTCCATTGCAGAGTTGACGATGCCCATCATAACAGAGTCAGCCAACATGCCAGAAGCCCTCAGTCTACCGTCCAGACCCTTAAAGAAGTCATCCATTTTATTTTATTTTATTTTATTTTTGATGATGCGGACAACTTCCTGATTGAAATTCGAATCCCAACCTTCAAGATCGGCGACAAATCTGAAATCGCCTAGTCGAGAAACAATTAAAGAAGCTAAAATCTTACCGAAAGTAGAGAGGAAGACGGTAAAAAAAATGGACAACAATTAATTATAATAAAGGTGTTGATGGGATAAAACGTACAATAACTCCATTGTTTTACAGAGAAATAGTCAGGAGCGAAACGAGGACCCGGTCTTCTGGAGATTGGAGTCAAAACAGGCCCCATAATAAGCTGTTCTCCGCCCCTCCCGATCTCTCTCTCATTCGTGCGGAGGGTGGCCTATTCCTATTTATTCGCTCCTCCTAACCACAGCAACTCTACGAAGGGTTTTTTTAGTATTAGTCCCTCAAATGATTAATAATTTCATATAAGCCCATCAAATCTTGAAAATTACGTATTTTTAGTCCCTTACATATTAACTAATTTCATATCTGTCCCCCAAATCTTGAAAACTGCATACTACGCCTATATGCTCTGGTAATGATAAGTGAGAAATCAGATGTGGTTCTATTCTAAATTTAGCAAATGTTGTATGCGGGTGTGTATATATAGTTAATATTTACGGAGAAATTAGAGGCGGCCATGCCGCCCACCCAAGAAAACAAAACGCTGCACTTAAGTTTAACTTGTCATAAAAATGAAACACTGTTGTGGGCCTGTAGACTTATGTGCTAATTTGGTATGCGAAGTGCAAACGGGTCTAATTAATGGATTCGGATCCTCTCCACTACAAAAAAAATAGTGGAAATCCCTAATTAATTTCCTATCCTAACCCATTTCTTAACATCTTCAATCATAATATCGCAGAGAATCCCTATATGGCTCACCTCTCACCTTCGAGACCTGTCCTCATGCTCTTGAACAATTCCCTTGGGTCATCATCTCCTGCTCCTAAGTCTTAGTCCCACGACTCCCAAGGTAAGCTCTAGATTCTTCAGGACCTTAAAACCCTAATTGCTTCGTTGTTGATTTCTTATCTCAATTGACATTTTGATGGTGCAAGTATGGGAGTGGGACATTAATTTGTTATCTAATTACCAATTTTTGCTAGGGATTTAAGTTTTAGTCGGTTGTTGCAAGTTGAACATTCAAAACCCTAGGTTTTTTTTTTTGAGATTAATGGGTGTCCTTGTCATACGAGTTGATTTCCTCCTTGACGCCTGTGTGGCACAATCCTCACCATCCTCATAAATTATGAGAGAGGATATGAGTTAGTGGAGATTTATGTCTACTTTATGAGGATGATGGGATTGTGCCACATAGACAACATGGAGGATGAGATTTTATTAAAAAACCCCACTTCTGTTTTGGAAGAGGATGAACGCTCATTATAAAACTCCACAATTTAAAAAAAAAGTTATATTAACACTTGTAAATATCAACCACATATACCCGCAAGAAGTATGTGCTAAGTCAGGTGTCTGTATTAGATAGCCCATCTAATTAATGCTTGGTTCACATAGCACTGACATAGAAAGAGGACACAAACGAGCAGCAGCAGTATTGTACCGTTATGGTAGCGTGTATGCCTATATAATTGCTGTAACTTTGTATTCTCCAATTAGTATTGGGGGAATAATCTTCCAGGGCCTGGATTCGGAGCCATCATCTCTAGCAAGCATTTGATACTTGTCCTTCCTCGTGAGATTGGTGCGCTTGAATCCCAACACCTGTCCAATCGACCGCTGAACTTGATTCGCAATCTTGAATTTGTAACCGTCAGCACCTTTATCGACGTTGTAGGGATTGACGCGTTGGAGGAATTGGTAATGGTAACGACGAATGGGGTTCATCTACTCCTCTATACTTACAGGAGGATCCAAAGATTCGCTATTTATTACTGTAGCACAAACGGAATACTGTGGTATGTAGCACAAACGGGCTACGTATTTTTTTTAAAATCACTGTGACGTTTGAAAAAAAAAGAATTACTGTAGCAAAAAAGGGGTTGGGGCGTGCTACGCACGGGGTGCGCACTAGTAAGGAGAGAGAAGGAATCTCAGCACTTGTAACCCCTTATAGTTGTCCTGTAGAACATGCCCCCTCTGCCATCACAGCAACTGGCAAGACACTAATACTATCCCCTCTGGACACACCACCAAATCCCCTTGTTTCTTGAGCATCCATCGCATGGTCGCTTCATCCTTGCTTCTCTTCCTCGTTAATGTCACAGTTGGTATTGGAGATATCTGTTGGAATCGGGTGGAGATCTAACCCTGCAGGCGAGCGGGGCTGCAGGCGAGACGAGCTCAAGGTCAGTGGCGAGCTCGATGGCGAGATCTGTAGGCGAGCTCGAGCGACTCCTTGCTGGCGAAGTCGACGCAGGCAAAAATGTTGCAGGCGAGACCAGCCTGTCATTGTGTTCCCCTATAAAAGGGAACCCGAAACCCTAGCCCCCTTATTGTGTTTTTTCTTCTCGCGATCTCAACTCCAGTGACGGCTCTCCCCCTCTGTCCTCACCCGCGATCTCTCTCTCTTTCTCCTTTTGTTCTCACGTGATTGAAAGAAATTTAGGAAGAGAATTAAAAAGGGCTGAAGGAATTTAAGGGGTATTTAAGAGGGACACTGTAGCTATAGTGTTAGCCTTTATTTGTATTGAGAAATCTCAGTTTGAGATTTGCTCTTGTGTATAATTTCTTGTTTGATTAATAAGAAATTAACTGTGTGGCTCCCGAGAGCGTTGGCAGTTATCGAACCTCGTTAAAACTTGGTGTACTTTTCTCTATACTGCGTTTCTGCTATCTTTGGGGTTTTGCGTAGCCCCGGCGGGTAGATTTCCCAACAACTGGTATCAGAGCGTGAAACGATCTAAAGGAAGTCAGATTCAAGTGGGAGCCATGGCCGCATATGAAGGAAAAATGAGACTTGAGAAGTTTAATGGAACAGATTTCAGATTCTGAAAAATACAGATAGAGGATTATCTATATCAGAAAAATTTGTATCAACCACTATCGGGGAAGAAACCAGATTCTGTGAAGGCAGATGAGTGGAACCTTCTAGATGACAAGCCCTCAGAGTTATTAGATTGACGTTGACTCATAATGTTGCGTTCAACATAGAGAAGGAGAAGACCACAACGGGTCTTATAGCAGCACTCTCAAATATGTATGAGAAGCCATCAGCCACGAATAAAGTTCATTTGATGCGACGGTTATTCAATCTGAGAATGGCGGAAAGCGCGTCAGTAGCACAACACCTCAATGAACTCAACACGGTCACAACCCAATTGAGTTCAGTTGAAATTGAGTTTGATGAGGAAGTTCGGGCGTTGATACTTTTGTCTTCCCTACAAGAAAGCTAGAATGCTACCGTCACGGAAGTGAGTAGCTCGTCGGGAAGCACCAAGTTGAAGTTCGATGACATTCGTGATCTGGTTCTCAGGGAGGAGATCCGACGGAGAGAGTCGGGTGAAGCTACAACCTCTTCAGTATTGCATACAGAGTCAAGAGATAGAAATTCAACCAGAGGGAACGGGCGAGGCAGATCAAACTACAGAGGTAGATCAAAGGACAGGAGGTCCAAGTCAAGGAATCCAAGCAACAGCTCGAAGGCTATCGAGTGTTGGAATTATGAAAAGACCGGGCATTACAAGAATTAGTGCAAGAGTGCTCAGAAGGAGAAGAAGGCGAATGCAGAGGTGAATGTCACTTCCACCTCAGGAGGAGACGACGCATTGATATGCTCTTTGGAGAGCAAGGAGGAATCTTGGGTGTTAGATTCAGGAGCGTCGTTCCATGCTACTTCTCAGAAAGAATTCTTCGAGAAGTATGTTCCCGGAAATCTTGGATACGTATATCTTGATGATGATCAACCGTGTGCTATTGTGGGCAAATGTGTGGTGAAAATTAAGTTGAACGGGTCAGTATGGGAGTGTTTGCGTCAAAAGTTGGTCTTGCTGTAGAATTCATTATATCTTCAGTCGATTACAATAAATTCAAAAGAAATAGTCTTTTTATAAGATCTCTTCTACACAACAAAAGGAAAATTATAACTCTTGAGAAACAAACGCAGGATCGTTGTTTGGATCGCTGCTTGCGTGGGATCTTTGCCTGTGCCGGGAGCGCTTTGACTCGTGGACCACCGAAGCACAGATTCTGATTGAACCGTGAGGGGTTTAATGATTCTTCCTTCGTTTATCGAAGTAAGAATTTGAAGCGAATATCTTATCGATGTAAGATGTTCACTCTTCCAAAGATCAAGTCTGAGCTTAGATCTCTAGGACTCGCTAGAAGCTTCTCGTTTATCGTCTTCTCTTTGCCTTGAGTGGTATTTGGATGTCTATAAGTATTTTTTGACGCCTACAGATACCCCCTCCACAAAGTATCTCAGACTCATCATTTTTAGAGAGGGGTCTGGGACACTTTGGATATGATAAGCTTTCCCTGTAATTTCTCCAGTGCTTTGTTGAGGAAGTTGTGTAACATAGTCTACGGATGGCTTTAATTCTTGACTTCTTCATCTTTTAGCCTATTCAGTGCTTTGTAGAATAGCTAAAATTCCTCCGGTGCTGCATTTATCGCGTGACCTTTGTCGAAGTCTTGAATTTGAACTGCCGTCGAAGAATAGAGAAATAGTTTATACTCATATACTCTATTGGAGTGTTCGGGAAATAGTTTAACCTTATATACCCATTGGGAGGTAATCAGGTTATTCTTAAGAATATTCTGAGTAATATTCTCCAGAAACTTCCTGTTGAGGGTAGGGAAACAGTTTAGACTCGTGTACCTATTGGAGTAACATGGTCTCTTTTTTGGTGGTAGAAATGAACCCGAAATCGGAGAGGAAGAATTTTATATTCTATCTCCTGGTCTCTTGTTTGTTGGTAGAGATGAACCCGATGATGGAGAGGAAGAATTTTATATTCTATCTTCTGGTCTCTTTTTTGTTGGTAGAGATGAACCCGAAATCGGAGAGGAAGAATTTTATATTCTATCTTCTGGTCTCTTTTTTGTTGGTAGAGATGAACCCGATGATGGAGAGGAAGAATTTTATATTCTATCTCCTGGTCTCTTGTTTGTTGGTAGAGATAAACCCGAAATCGGAGAGTAAGAATTTTATATTCTATCTCCTGGTGCAAAGGAAACTCAAAGTAGGATCTCCACTTAGAGAACCTGGACGGGTTTGAATAATCCTAACTGTCATAAGGTTTGATTATTCAACTAAAAGTGGACCTCTCGTTCATGGAAGGAATCGAGAGGGGATTTTGGTTGTGGTCCTAACTGTAGTAAGGTTTGA